TGACGTCAAGGCTCCGTCCAATGGGCTAGGATCCCACCGACGCGGGAGGTAATACCCCAAAGATCACATTTAGAAGGCACCACTAGCATAAGAACCACGTTTCAAGGCCAGATACGAGTTATTTTTGCCAACCGACAATATTTGAAGCCATGCACGCACAGTCAGCCAGCTCATCGAGCTTTTGTTAGAATATTCTTAGTCCCGTTTGAGATGAAACCGAGTATTAGTCAGGTGGCGTGAAAGTCCAGGTGCGCGTTGGTCAGTGAGCCATGGCAATTGAATAAATGAATCTGGCGGATGAAGGTTCACCGAACGGTTACGGGACTCACTCATACCGTTCTGCCTCGTGGCTCACTCCCGAGTCCCACCAGCAGTTGCACAAGGACTAGCATTACGGGCAGATGGACATGGGTCATGTCAATATTCCCGATCTAAGTCGGCAAGAAAACAAGCCCGTGGCTCAATGGTTAGTGCTAGACAGGCGGTGGGTTCGGGCCAGTACACCATCTGGGATTGGGTAGGGCTGGTTGATGACGCCTAATAAACCAGAAATGGCGGTTCCAGTTCCCTGTGTCTTTATTGGCCACATCCATATGCCAATGGCACAAAAGATTCTAGCACCGACAAGTAAGCACTTAAGGTAGCCGTTGTCTTGGTCCTATAGATGTCCGAGACGCTAGCTTTTAGAAGACTTTTAAAATGACTGGGTTTCAGCGATCTCTCCCCCCAACCTCTTCAGTTCAACCAGATACGCTGACGAAACCCGACAGCACGAAAGTGGTCATCCTAGGCACGCCAGCAACCATGCCCGATCTACAGTGCACAGATGAGCGACTAAATTCATGTCGTGGACCGTGTGGGGGGGGGGACGGCGCCATGGGACGGACGGAGACTTACCACCATGAGAAACATTGACAAAGAAGCGGAAGATGCCGAGTAAGCAAGTGAGCAGTGTTTGTTGGTCAGGCTGGTGTTCAACGGGGACGATTGTGGGTGAAGAGGCCTCAGCTGAATCCGAGGAGGTCGTGTTGCTGGCGGCGGCGGTGGTCGTGGTCGTGGTGGTAGTAGGCTGTACAGAAGGGGTGCTGTCGGAGGAATCGGCGGCCTGCAACTTGGTCCATGAGGTCGAGGGGGGAGCATGACGGGGCAGACGGTAGGCACAGAGCTGAATACACTGGACAAGACGATCGATCAGCAGTCTCTCCTTGAAACGCACCAAGTGCGTCTGATTGTCCGGATTTAGGTATGTCATCTGAAAAGTAAAGTACACACCTCTGTCAGAGAAGCTTAAAAAGGTTGACTAAAACCCTATAGCAAACAGTGCGCTGAGCCTGCAAGGGCTCTAAAGTAAGCTCCAAGGCCCAATGGGACATTCACGTTCCGTAACCAGATTGGTGAGCCCCACACTATGATAATATTCCCGATCGCAGCGAATAAAACACCGGACCCGTGGCTCAATG